AGACAGAAAATGAATGAAGATTTTAATGTGTTGTGTTAAGTGCTTTGGAAAGAAAAGTGCAGGCTATCATGAGGACATAGGAAACAGGCACTTGACCACAATTGGGGTAGAGGATAGGGAAGGCTTCTTGGAGAAGGTGACATCCCCAGCAGAGACTTGGATGAGTAGGAAGTGAAGAGCAGATAGAGAGAGTGTTCCAGACAAAGGGAAGTATATATTTAGAGATGAGGGTATACAGCATTTTCAAAGAATGATGTAAAGTAGGTAAGTTAGTATTCCGGTTTAAGATGAGAAAAACCCCCATGGCTGACGCAGTTTAATGTTTCACTCAGGGAACGGCCAGCATTTGAATGTAGGCTATTCTAACCTATGCTTCTGTAGCACCCAGAATAAGAGTTGTCAGATATATGATTACCATGTCTTTTTTTTTTCAATTCATATGTTTGTTTTGTTTTATATTCAGTTATTCATTCTCAGTGTTCCGTGACTTCTAGTACTCATACCTATATCAGAAAAGATAGCAGAAAGCAATTATAATAGTATCTTTTGTTTAGTGAGCTCTTACTATGTATCAGGCACTATGCTAAATACTTAATGTATTGTAGCAGAGACTGGCTAGATGCTTAGCAATCCCATTTCCTCTTCCTGAGCACACAGAACAACTATATTTCCTAGCTTCCCTTGCAATTATGTGGAATACATGACTGAGTTTTAACCAACGTAAAGTTAAATGGTGAGGGCCACTTCCTAGCCTGGCCTCTCTGTTTTTACTATTCTGTCAGCCAGGTGGAGGGGGGCCCAGTGGATGACTCTAAGGGGATGAAAAGAGTTTGGGTCCCTGAATCACCACTTAGATGGGAGCTATGCAGGAAAGACACCCAATCTATGTTAGACTGTGACTTGAGTAAAGAGTGAACTCTTGTATCTAACCACTGAGATTCTGGAATTTTTGTTATAGCAGCTAATGTTAATTATCCTGATCAATGCACAAACACTGTTTCATTTAATCTTTATTACCACCCTGTGAGATTGACATCATTATCAGTATTTTACAGATGAGAAGTCAGAGATTATGTCACTTGTCTGCGTTACTCAGCCAGTGAGTGGCAGAGCTGAGAGAACACACAGCCCAGGTCTGTTTGACTCCAGAGCGCATGCTTTTACCACCATATTAACAATGCCCTTCCCAATCTTGGAAGAGTTCTTGGAAAAGACAAAAGTCTAGTGTGTTGAGAGAGAGAAAGAGAGTGAGGGTAGGGGAGGAAGAACAGCTCAGAACTGAGTGTTGTGGTTAAAGGGAATGTGGTGAGCCCCAGGGAATATGTGGGCAGAGCTGGGTAAGGGTAAACATCTTGCCCACATGGCCACACTGGGAAATTTTTAGGGCAAGTTTTCAGGTCTAGATGGTTCCATTGTTGCATTTTCCTTTTACTTTATCTTGGTCTTCAGGATGATGGTGGAGTAGGGTGGGCATCTGAGTGGGTAGGAAGTCCATGTTCAAATGTGGTAACAGGCACAACTTGCAGTTTCTGTCCCTGAACTGGTGATTAGGGAAGTTCCAAACCTTGTGATCACTGTGTCAGAGCACATAAAAAGGAGAGAACCCTAGACGGAACTGACCCCAAGAAGACAGAGAAAAGGAAGCTGCCTGGGAACACTTGGCATTATTGGGTCAAGGAGAATCACAGATGTAAGATGAAGGGGTCACCAGCTTCCACCTGTCTGCATATAAAGAGTTCAGAAGGGACAGAACCCCTTTTGAATGTCCCTTTCTACTCTGTTTAGAGGGTAACTCAGGCTTGAATAGGGAGTTGTTTGAATTTTAACTGGGTGAGTGAGAGGCATCCAAACCTGAAGGGTTTGGAGCAGGAGACGGACAGGGCAGATCTGCATTTTAAACAAAAGAGGAAACCTAGAGCATGGAGGTGACTAACCAGAGTGACTTGGCTAGTTAGTGGTGGAATCGAAACCCTGTACTCCTGATTGATGTTAACTCTCTTTGCCTTGTACTCCACAGCAGCCAAGCTTTTGGAACTATGAAGACTATGTGACAATGCCATGGCCATCAGCCTAGAGGAAAAGGGAAGAAATATTGATCTTTTAGGTGAGGGACCTCCCCTGCTAATTCCCTTGAATCAGCAGGGTTGGAACTAAGAGTCTTCTCACGCCTGAAGTCTACCGAGGATTTTGTTCCTGACCAGTGCCAAGGTTCACAAAGCTTCTGGGAGGAGCCAGTGGGCCTTGGAAACAGGAGACCTAGTTCTAGCCTCAGCTTGGCCACTCCTAGCTGTGTGCTCTTGGGCCAGTCCCTGTACCTCTATTAGCCATTGACAAGATAGGAATAATTGTAACCTTTGTGGGCTGTTGTAAGGCCAGATACAAAAGTGTTCTGACAACTGATAAAACTTCCCAAATGAGAGTGGGTGTGGTTAGCAGAAATATTCAGCAGGTAGACCTCACACTGACTAGGGGAACCTTATCCCCTTCTCCCACTGTCTGCTTGTTTATGTTCGCTTGGCTTCTCTCCAGGCTGTATGTTGTGCTGAGCCCTACCCCATTCCAGGATGATTGGGATCTCTGACTGTACTTGGGACCCCTCCTCACTTCCAAAGTGAGTTTTAAGAAAATCATCTTGTCCAAAAGGGTGAAGACCTAGTTCATTGCCATTGCTTTGTGAACTTGAGATGCAAGAAGTTAAGAACAGAACATTGACAAAAATATCCTATGTCATTTCAAGAAACTGCTGTGTCTTCCTTCTCTAGTCTAGATGACTTTGACTTCTCCAGTTTTTAGGTGTGTTATTTCCATTTAATTCTAAACTTAACAGCAATCTAAGCCTCCTTCCCACAAATGCAAGAAATCCATCTCATCTGCTCTTGGGTTTCCATTCTGGAAGAACTTGTGGGGTTATGCAGGGAAGCCTCAGATGCCCAGAGCCATCGCGGCAGTCATGGCTTACCTCTTAATGTCTCATGATGGTGGCCTCTAGGCTGCAGTTGCTCGCTTCAAGTGTGGACACAGAGCTCATAACATTTTTAAATGCTATTTGAGGCTTGTGAATAACGAAGTACCAAAGAAATAGTTTTCAACTGCTTCAAGAAGTAGCCACCTGGAGCTCCCTCCAGCTCAATACCATTCTGAAAACCTTCCTTAAACTTCTGGTAATCATTGAAGTAGGAAGACACCAGCTAACTTTTCACCTTTGGAAATCTCTAGGCTTCTCTGAACACCTTTCTTGTCCCCAGAGAGAGGAGGGTCCCTTCTTCCCTTGCTTAAAGTCTACTTATTTTTTTTTCCTTTAAGATGCTTCACATCAGGAACATTAATATCCTTCAAGGGAAAATCCTAGCCCTACCCCAAAGGTATAGTCTGGTTCCAATGGCTCACATAGGGCTAGCAGCTGGATATTTCTGTTAGTCTGCCTTAGTCCTAAATAACAGTGCAGGTGGGGCAGCCTCTCCACAGTCATTCCTCTATG